ACAACTTTGTGCCACGGTTTCACTTCTTTGGCTACCTGGCGGCCTACCTGGCCTCCATATATGGCCATAGATCTTGTGTTTATACCAATCTGCTGGCCAGGGAGGTAGAGGAGGCCCAAGGCAACGCCGAAACAGGCTACCTCATAAACGTAAGCTCAATTTCCATCCAGAAGTGAAACGCCCATTACAGAATTTCCAAATGCTATACACTTTCATTTTTGTGCAGGTCACTAACCATAACACCAGCTACAAGAAAATATTTGTGACGACCGAGGAGTACAGATGGTGCCTCCGGTGGCTTATTGTTCGGGATCGCTGCGTCCCGCGCAATCCTTTTTTTTTCTCGAACACCGGAAAAGGTGTCATGAAGGACCTGCACCGTTATATGCAGAGGGCGTGGCAGGACATGGGCCTCCAGGGCCAGCCCGGGTTTCTTGACTTACGGACGGCGGTGTCCACATATGTAAGTTGAAAAGAATCATGTTATCGTCTAGGTTTCTCATTTTTGCACTTTTTTCCTCTCCAGAACTTCGAACAAAACACGGACCGGACCACCAGGGAGAGTGTGGCACAATTTATGTATGGGTTATGTATGTATGTATTTATGTATGGACACAGGAACGCTTTTATGCACTGTACAAAACTGTAAAGAAGGCACAGGAGATGCGCCAATGCTTCATAGCACTAAGCTGCAAGAACAAGGCCACTCCTGTGTCTTCCACCTCCTCCGCCGTTGCCCCTTCCTCCTCCTCCTCCGCTGGCCCTTCCACCTCCTCCGCCGTCGGCCCTTCCTCCTCCTCCGCCGTCGGCCCTTCCTCCTCCTCCGCCGTCGGCCCTTCCTCCTCCTCCGCCGTCGCCCCTTCCTCCTCCTCCGCTGGCCCTTCCACCTCCTCCGCCGTCGGCCCTTCCTCCTCCTCCGCCGTCGCCCCTTCCTCCTCCTCCGCTGGCCCTTCCACCCCCTCCGCCGTCGGCCCTTCCTCCTCCTCCGCTGGCCCTTCCACCTCCTCCGCCGTCGGCCCTTCCTCCTCCTCCGCTGGCCCTTCCTCCTCCTCCGCTGGCCCTTCCACCTCCTCCGCCGTCGGCCCTTCCACCTCCTCCGCCGTCGGCCCTTCCTCCTCCTCCGCCGTCGCCCCTTCCTCCTCCTCCGCCGTCGCCCCTTCCTCCTCCTCCGCCGTCCGCTGTCGGCCCTCATCTGGAGAGAGTGCGTCGCCGGCTGCTCGGGAATGCCGGGGGGACTGGACAGGCAATCCTAAAACGGAAGCAATCCCCGAGCAAGGTGATACATTTTTCATTTGAGCATAACTTCAAACGTTGTGATCTTTCCTGATTTACCCTAACCCGGATGTTTTGGTTTCCTCTTTATAGACTACAGAAATGGCAAACAAAATTAAGATGAAGTACTCGCCTATGAAAATGGCAAGGGTCACTTTAAAAGATCTGCGGGAGACTAAATACAGCTTGAGAATCCCGAAGAAATTCAAAATCTAAATATGTAAATAGGTAAATGTTTTATTGTTGTTTATGTTCTTAGTGTTTTTAAAAATTTTACTGTTGTTGTTGTTCTTAAGGCGCGTTCAGACCAAAAGCTTCAAAAAGCTTTTGACGCGCTTCAACTGACGCCGGGATAGTTTTGTCATTTTGGTGCTTGAAGCTTTTGACGCGAGTGACGCGCCTGACGTCGGTGGGAGGAGCTTCTCTGTTGCCTGTGGGAGGAGCTTCTCTGTCTGTAGTCAGGACAGCGGTGGATTTTTCAATGAGCAGCGAGCCTTTATTTGTTATATAAAGCAAAATAACGTTGTTGTAGGGCTTCAACAAAACATGTTCTGGGTTCACCACAGACTTGAGAGGCTGCAGTGTTTGCAGAGTTCCGTCAATTACTCCCGGAGCTGCGTACGGAGGAGTTTCGCTTTCAGCGGTACTTCCGCATGTCACTCGCCCAGACTGAGTTCTCAAACCCCGGAGCTCGCCTCTCCCCGCCTCGCTCTCTCCTCTCCCTGCCTCGCTCTCTCCTCTCCCTGCCTCGCTCTCTCCTCTCCCTGCCTCGCTCTCTCCTCTCCCTGCCTCGCTCTCTCCTCTCCCTGCCTCTCCCCGGCTCTCGCTCGCCTCTCCCCGGCTCTCGCTCGCCTCTCCCCGCCTCGCTCTCGCCTCTCCCCGCCTCGCCCTCCCTGCCTCTCCCCGGCTCTCGCTCGCCTCTCCCCGCCTCTCGCTCACCTCTCGCTCGCCTCTCCCTGCCTCTCCCCGGCTCTCGCTCGCCTCTCCCTGCCTCTCCCCGGCTCTCGCTCGCCTCTCCCTGCCTCTCCCCGCCTCTCGCTCACCTCTCGCTCGCCTCTCCCCGGCTCTCGCTCGCCTCTCCCTGCCTCTCCGCGGCTCTCGCCCGCCCGGAGCTGCCTTGCTCTGAGCCAGACTCATCGTCAGCCTGTTCTTATATTAAATAAACTACGTTTACTACACAGCATGTGTACAATGATTTTTGTTACTCAGAACGTTACTACTCATACAAATAATATTACTAATAACAATAATGACAATAAAACAGCAGCAGCAGATACATGACTTCTCTTCATGACAGAGACAGACCCTCTGCTGCTGCTGCTCCTCGTCTCCTGATTGGTTGAAGCCCGCGTCAAAGCTTCAAAAGCTCAGCTTTGCTCAGCTTCGGCGTCAAAGGGATTGTTTTGATACGCGAGCATTTCGCGCGTCAAAAGCTTCAAGTGAGCGCGTAGTACGCGCGACTCTTGAAGCTTTTGACGCGCGTCAAGTGACGCCGGGCCCCTTGGCTTCACCTGACGCGCTTCACCATTCACTTTCAATGGAAACATGACGCTTTTGACGCCGAAGTTAAGTCCGGTGTGAACGCCCCTTTAGTGTTTTTAAAAGTTTTACTGTTGTTGTTGTTCTTTTACATAACTGTGGTCCTCCATGGTTCTTTTATATAACTGTGGTCCTCCATGGTTCTTTTATATAACTGTGGTCCTCCATGGTTCTTTTACATAACTGTGGTCCTTCATGGTTCTTTTATATAACTGTGGTCCTTCATGGTTCTTTTATATAACTGTGGTCCTCCATGGTTCTTTTATATAACTGTGGTCCTCTGTGGTTCTTTTACATAACTGGTCCTCGGCCACCTCGGCCACTCTACCACCGTGCCTCGGGGCGGCACGGTGGCAGAGTGGATAGCACTCTCGCCTCTCAGCAAGAAGGTCCTGGGTTCGAATCCCTGATCCAGGAGGGAGGAGGGGACAACAAACTACCGTCAACAGCCGAATCCCAGAAGTTTCACAGTAATATACAGGGCCGAAAAGAGACGAAAATCACACTTTTCATGCAGTGTCCAGTCTTGTTATCGACTCTTTCTCGTTTTAGCTTTGGGATCCATGAGCACTTACAGTCTATGATGCACACACGCCGGTTTGTTTACAGCAGCAGCCGCATGGGGCGGGGCCGCGTGACCGCGCGTCATAGGATATGACGCACTACGTTGACAGAAATGTTAAAATTAGATATTACTTATACATATTTTTACAGCATTTAAAAACGTAAAGATTGTTTTTCCTCCTACAGAAACCACATTCAAACTATAAATAAAATATAGCCCTCACACTCCATTTTCAGACATTTTTGAAAAGGCTCCAGGAGCCACTCCAGGAGCCACTCAAGAGCCGCGGGTTGCCGACCCCTGGTCTAAACTCATGTGTTACTGTTGTCTCCGGAGCTTTTCAAAATGGCCGTGAGCAGCCCCTCCTACAGGAAATAGACAGATGCATTTGTGCACATGTTAGCTAACACGTACATGGTGACCATGTGTGCCATGCTCATGGATCTATAATAACAATTGGATAGGGTATTACTAGTGTGACAATGTGGGCTTGTAGCACTTTGGTTGACCAGGCAGTAGGGGGCGGTAGCCTGGTATAAAAGCTGCTATGCCCTGCACGTCTGCCGCTTGCCCTGCTTCCTGGTCCTGCCTGTGTGTTGCCTCGTCCCTGTCATTCCTGAGCTCCCAGCTCCAAGCCTGCGTGTGTCCCCGGTCTGGCAGCGTCCCGGGAATGGTGTGGACTAGCCGTCATGGCCACTCACCGAGCGTCATCGCCCCGGTTCGGTAGCCTGGATGTGGCTGGGGAATGCGGGTTCTGAGCCTGCTGGAGCGCGGCTGCAGCAGGCTCAGAACCCTTGTTTTTACCCTTGTTTTACCGTTGTTTTAATTAAAATGTGAAATGTAACAACAAATATTATTCGTTCTCCTGTACACAAAGAAAAAGGACTGCTAAATTAAATGTGTTGAACGAAATTATGCCTTTTATTAATGCACCTGACCTGTGTGTCCTTTTATGGTTTTTGGTTCGAAATGTCAAAAGAACTAGCTGAACCACCCGGTTACACTAGCTTACAGCTGTCCCACCCATGGGCACAGGGGGCGCTGTGGTACTGCAGACTAAATTCAGAGGGCTACCCAGAAAAAAGTCCCATAGAACTCAATGTAAATTAAAACAGCTTGACCTCAGCTGACAGAGAACCTGACAGAGAACCTAACGCTTTCAGAAATATGGGATTTTGTGGGGATTTCAGTGTCCCTTGTCATCCTGAACTTTTTTTCTTCTTAAATCTTTTGGTTTTCTTTAAATCCACACTTTACTGCTGTTAGCAGAGTGAATTATACAGTGTTTAACGTGTCAGCCTTAAAACACAATGCAACATACTTGATTTCTTCATTCATTTATTCAATCACACTTGTCACAGGTGTAGGTGATCCTTAAATCATATAGTCACGCCAGACTGGGATGACGTTGAAAACAAATAACAAAATGAGAGCACATCTCAACACTCCCACTTGATCACATTTTTGAATTGACATTTCTTAAAGTGATTGTCTGGAGTTTGTCAGAGAGACGGAGAGGTGCTTGATTTGAAAAAAACGACGCAAGCTCCTCCCCCTTCCTTTCTGATAGGTCTACACCTACGTTTCCGTAACACTTTGAAATGTTAATCAGAGAACACATACATATACATTATAAATACACATGCACGGAAGTTTTCAGAATAATCTGTGAACGTTTTAATGAAAAAAATAATGTTTTTATGCACAAAAAAAGCGATCGCGGCCAACCAGGAAGTGCTATTATCATGAATTGCACATCACAGGACACATCTGCAGAGGATCTGATTATGGATGTTCAGAATATACATAAGTACCTCAGCGCGGATGTTCAGAATTCTGTGTTCAGTTTTCATGTAGTTCCAGAGCCTGTGGAGGCTTGATTCGGAGGCTCCGCGAAAACAAACAACTGAGCATGAGCAGCTGCGAGCATCAGCGCTGATGATTGACAGCCCTTGGCAGGACTTGATTGGTTAGAACTATAGCTAAGAGCAGGGAAGGCGGGACTTGCCCGTAATATTAGAATTAATAAAATGACTTATTTTATATCAACATTTAAGGCCAGGTCAATTTAACACATTTCCTAAAATGTGTAATTCATTCAGAGTTACAGACTATCACTTTAAGTAAACACAAGTACCATACACCTTTAACATAGGCATCATTTAAAGCAGCAGTAAGCGATTTTTGGGTGTTAATATACGTCTTAAATATTGATATATTCCAATAGCCATCACTTATATAGAGTGTTTGTACCTAAACACGGATCTCTCAGTCCTTCCAGTCTCCTCTCACCAATATAATAAAAAAACCTCACATCCTATGCGCTTATCCAATGACGAGAGAGCACGCCTTATAAGGGGTTTCTCCCGTGTGTGCACGCGCACTCTTCAAAACAAACATGGCGGAGAAGGAAAAGCCGCCTCCAGCGCTGCTGCAGACTAAATACCATGGATCTATTAAATACAGACAAAACGCCAGAAACAGAGGAACGACAAAAAGTAGGAGCAACATGGTGACCAGCTGCACTCATGTTGGTGACCTCTAGCTCCGTGGATTCCTCTCTCCGACTGAACAGGTGAGCATGTTACTCAGTAGTGGCAGTAGTAGTTGTATTATTTATACATATTGTTGCCTGAGATAGACTGTAATGCGGGTTTTCACCAAGTTAGCTTGTTAAAAATCCCCAGCTGTTGTAGAAATACGGCCGCATTTTGTGACAATAACTGCGCATTACCTTGGGTTAGCTTTGAGAAACAACAACAGACAACACAACATCGAAGCCTTAGCCCAGCCTTAGCCATCCATAAACTCCGGTCAATTATTAGTTCCCCGCATGTACAAAATTAAATGACCATATCACCAGAGTTCCCCCGTGAAGTGGTGTTAGCATTAGCGTTCGCGGTTAGCATTAGCGTTCGCTGTTAGCATTAGCGTTCGCGGTTAGCATTAGCGTTAGCTGTTAGCATTAGCGTTAGCTGTTAGCATTAGCTGTCTGTAGTTGTGAATATGATGTGGCTGCTACGAACACTTCTGATCTGTATGAATCGTTTGTTTTTGCCAATAAACATAGTTGCTTGCACTATATATATATATGTAGGTCTGCATTTCATTC